CAATCAACTTCAAGGACAGTGCATACATTATCAGAGTTATGTTTTTTTGTTGCATTATGACTGCAGGTATTGTGGTCTATGCAAACATGACTCCTTGTAAAAAAGGTGTCAGTTTTGTTGCCAGATAGAAGGGTAAAAAAAACAATTATCAAAAGACAAAGAGTTCACTGCTTTAGCCCACCGGTGTGTTGAAGCGTGAAACCACAACATTTACAAATTTATTTTGAGTTGTACTGTGACGTTTCGCTGGTAATTGCATCCAGCATCATCGGGCAATTCGCCAGAATGGTCAGGCTTCTCGCGAAAGCCTACGTGTTCTTGGTTCTTTCGGTAAAGTCACGTAGAATGGAAATAATAAAATAATAAAAATAAAACATAATAAAATCATTCTCACGACGTTTCGGCCACAACGCAAGCAGCCGTCCTCAGGTGAAGAACAGGTCTGTCGGGAAGACCGCGTCTGAATGAAACGCCCCAGGCTTGGAGCGTTGTGGCCGAAACGTCGTGAGAATTATTTTATTATGTTTTATTTTTATTATTTTATTATTTCCCTTCTACGTGACTTTACCGAAAGAACCAAGAAGATGAACTGTATAATTGCTGTCGAGCGCCTTGGCCAATCTCGTCTTTAAGATGAGAAGTAGAATGGGCGCACAGAGAGAGAGATGAGATGAGAGTCTGCTACTTATTATTCGGATTCTGGGGACGTAGTCGTGAGGATGTTGATGTCGACGCAGAGACATCGGCTGCAATGGAGCAGTGAGGCGGTCAAGCCACAGTTAACCACAGCGTCTAGAGTAGCAGCAGCTGAGCAGTGAATCATCGTCATCATCATCGCCCAGCTGATGTCTCATTGGTGGTTGTTGATCTTGGTGGGGGCATTGCGTCGTTCATTAAAAGTGGCTGTAGTGTCTCCGTTGTGGATGACCCACGGTCACACGCTACTAGTTGTGGAGTCAAGCCACAGGTAACCACAGCGTCTAGAGTAGCAGCAGCTGAGCAGTGAATCATCATAATCATCGCTCAGCTGATGTCTCAAACGTGTTTGTTGATCTTGGTGGGGGCATTGCGTTGTTCATTAAAAGTGGCTGTAGTGTCTCCGTTGTGGATGATCCACGGTCACACGCTACTAGTTGGGGAGTCAAGCCACAGGTAACCACAGCGTCTGGAGTAGCAGCTGCTGAGCAGTGAACCATCATCATCATCATCGCTCAGCTGATGTCTCATTGGTGGTTGTTGATCTTGGGGGGGGGGGGGGGGGCACTGCGTCGGTCGCTATGACTCGTTGGACAACGGTCTCTGTCCTGGATGACCCACGGTTGCACGCTACTAGTTTCCACTTGTGACATCGGGTATCGTCTGACGCTGACTTGACCTTGTGCAGCGGATGGTGGCCAATGGGGTGGACCATTCGCTTGGTGGAAAATCAAATCCCAATGGGGTCTCGTGGGTTGAGTCTCGCTGCGTTCAGAGGAAAGTAACGCGACAGAGATTGCGGTGAGAGTTTGAGACAGCTACGGGGAAAGGAGAGCCGTGCAGAGCAGAGGGAGAGTGAGAGGACAGACACACTCAATCATTCACCCACTCACTCACCCATCCATTCACTCACTCACCCACTCACTCACTCACTCACCTACCCATCCATTCACCCACTCACTCACTCACTCACCCACTAACTCACTCACTCACCCACTCACTCACTCATTCACTCACCCGCTCACTCACTCACCCACTCATACACCCGCTCACTCACTCACCCACTCATTCACTCACTCACCCACTCATCCACCCGCTCACTCACCCATTCTCTCACCAACTCACTCACCCACTGACTCACTCACCCACTCACTCACCCACTCACTCACTCTCTCACTCACCCACTCACCCACCCACTCACCCACTCACTCACCCACTCACTCATTCACTCACCCATCCACTCACTCACTCACCCACTCACTCACCCACTCACTCACTTTCTCACTCACCCACTCACCCACCCACTCACTCACCCACTCACTCACCCACTCACTCACCCACCCACTCATTCACTCACTCACCCATTCACTCACTCACCCACTCACTCACTCACCCACCCACTCACTCACCTACCGATACACCCACTCACTCACCCACTCACTCACCCACTCACTCACTCACTTACCCACTCAAACATTCACCCACTCACCCACTCACCCACTCACTCACTCACTCACCCACTCACTCACTCACTCACCCACTCATACACCCGCTCACTCACTCACCCACTCATTCACCCACTCACTTCACGCAATCATCCACTCACCCACTCACTCCCTCACACACTCACCTACTCACTCACCCTCTCACTCACCCACCCATTCACTCACATACCCGCACACACATTCATCCACCCACCCTCCCTCTCTCCCACCTACTCACCCACACACCGCCCTCACTCACCCACTCACTCACTCACCCACCCACCCTCCCTCTCTCCCACCTACTCACCCACACACCGCCCTCACTCACCCACTCACTCACTCACCCACCCACCATCCCTCTCTCCCACCTACTCACCCACACACCGCCCTCACTCACCACACCGCACGTCACCTCACCTCTCTCTTTTTGCTTCTTCGCTCGCACCGCTCCAATCTGGAATCCCCTCCTCCTCACTCACCACCATCT